CTGCCCCTCCCCCAATTACACATTGTCACAGGGAGGTTGCACAGTGTCATACTTAGTCTCTCACAGCCACACAACATGCAGTGCCAGAACATCATCATATTGATGATAACAGCAGCCACCATAATAGTAGTTAATATTTGAATAAAATACTGCTCGTAGTACATATATTTAATCCTCTCAACAGCCCTCTAAGGAAGGCACTATCATTATTCCCATTTTACAGATGAGGAAACTGAGGCTCAAGGAAGTTGCCTGGAAGAGTCAGGACTCAGAAGCGGGCAGCCTGCCCACAGGGTCTGTGCTATGAAACATTGCTTTAAGCAACCACAGCTCAGGGACACACTGCCATGAGTAAAAACATCAGAAAACCTCTATAACACACACCATAACACAGAATGACAGAATCACTCAGTCACCGCGGGTCACCCACTGTCAAATCTGTCATACGCAGTCACACTCAGTTGCACAGCATCACACTGGATCACACACTGTCACACTGGGTCACATGCAGACACCCTCAGTTCCATAATGTCACACACTTGGTTACACAGCATTACACACCATCATTGCTGCACAATGGCCCCACAGTACCACACATGTGATGGAACTATTCAGTTGCCACTGGATCACCTGCTGGGTCACCGACCGTCACACCTGTCACATACAGGCACACCACACTTTTGCACAGGATCACACTGGAGCACACAGCTTTGCAAATCTTGGTTACACAACCATACCTATTACACACACTGGGCCACATATCCAGTGGTGCCTCGGAAATTTGTAAACAGTAAGGGTTGGGGTGGCGAGGAATGGGGAGATTTGGAGGGGCTGAGATAGATCAGGAAAAAGGGTAACTAATCCCCCCAGTACTCACCCCCACATGCCACTGCTGCAAGCACGGCCCCACAGTGGGGCACACACTCACAGAAGTACTAGACAGGTCCAATCAAAAGCTGAAGGCAGGTGGCCCCCAAGCTCTGGGACAAGTAGTCTGTGTCCTACTCCAGCTACCTTCCCATTCCCTCGCAGATTTTGGTGCTCCCTGCGCCCCTTACCCAGCCTCTGCCCATTGAGCGCTGCCACCTTGAGGCTCTGCTCCTGCAGGTAAAGCTCTCTGGAGCGGCTCCGGTTTCGGCCCCCCAGGCACTGCATGGCGCTCCGCAGTGTCCCGGCCACCACGGAGGCAGGTCCCCGGGCAGTGCCGTCAGCAGAAGCCTGCCCGGGTACAGCGGGTGGAGCCGCCGCCCTGGAAGGGAGCAGGGGCGGAGTTTAGGAGTGGAAGGGAGGGGCTAGAACCCAAGAGGAGGGGCCAAGTCCGGAGAGGCGGGGCCCCGGACCTAGAGAAGGGCGGAGTCAGCCCTGGGAGGCGGAGCCGGCCCCAGCGGGGTGGGACCGATGCCCCCTGGAGGTGGGGCGAAAACAGAAGCCTGGAGTGGATGGGGTGGGAGGGGCCAGAAGACAGGAGGCGGAGCCGAGGAGCCGGGCCTGGGAGGTGGAGTGAGACACATCCATAACCCAGGAAGCACATCTGTGGCGAAAGCCAGAGGCCAGAAAGTGGCCCGGGGGCGGAGCCAGAGCCAAGGAGGCGTGGCAGGGGAGGAGCCGGGCCGAGGAGGCGGAGTTCAGGCTGGGAGCCGCCTCGGGAGGCGACGTGGAGGCAGAGCCATACCCGCCAAGCAAACCGGGGCGGAGCCAGGACCCAGGACGCGACCCCGAGAGCATCCTGCCCTGGAAAAGCGAAGTCCAGGCAGGCAGGGGCGGGGCCTCGGCGTTGGAGGCGGTGTGGGCGGAGTCCGACCAGGGGGCGGAGCCTGAGCCGCGAAGTCTAACGCCGGCTCCCAGCCGGGCGCGGGACCGCGGGAGACTGAGCTGAGCCGAGTCCCGGTGGGCCGCTGTCTAGCGGGGAACCGAGTGGGCGGGGCCAGGCGGCACCGGGGGCGGAGCCTAGGCCAGACACGGAGGCCGCCCAATATTTCACGTCAATTACTCAGTGAATTCGTTGTGACTCAGCTTGCTGTTTGTTGCCTCACTTGTGAACCTCAGGCGGACCTGCTTCCTTCTCTGTTTGCCCCCCTGAGTGATAATCTCCCAGGTGCCAGATGCGAATGGAATTCTTGAAAAAATGCTGACCTTAAAATGAGCCCATTAGCGCAGGCTTGCTTTGATAAATACACGAGAACGACTGCAACTTTGTACAAAACTGTGCTGCCAATATGCTCGAGAACAGTGGGTCCTTTCATGTACATTACAACTTCCCTTTCATTCACCCAGCAATTATTTATTGAGCCCCTACTGTGTGCCAAGGTCAGGACATCACCCGGAGGCCTGACTCGCTCTTTTCCTCTCTCTGCCTCTGAATAATTCCCCCATTCGCTTCACTGAAGCTCCCGTCACCAGCATCAACAGTGAGTCACTGGCAAAGCCAGTTTTTGGCACAGACAAGCACAGCAATAATAAACTGAAGCACAGAGTGACTTGTCTAAGGTCACACCACAGAGAATAAATCATGAGCAAAGGTGTCTTAGTGTAGATGAGCTAAAATATGGACACAGAGAAGCTGTTCTTTGGAGAAGGGGAAGCAGAGTGTAATGGGAGCCTGAGTTACACAGAAACCACACAGGGGTTCTTAACCAGACCAAAGATTCCCCAAGGACCTGTGGATGGAATCACATCTCCACATAATTGGCTTCTTTTTAATTCTTATATATTTTATTTTCTTAATTTAAAAACATGATCCTGAGAAGGGGTCCACAGGCCTCACCCGACTGCTAAAGTGGCCTATGGCACAAAGAAGTTAACATCAGTGTGTATCAGTTTGGGCCTGGAACCCCAGGCACACACAGCTTTGGAACATAACTAAGATGGGAGGGGAGCTGGCCACCCCAACTTGCTATGATGGCTCTGGAGCCATCATCTCTTGGGGACTGGCTTTTTGGGCAACCTAGAACTCCTATGCCCATTAGTGTTTTATCCTCACAGCATCACCTGTGAAATACACTTGCAACCCATGGAGAGAAAACAGACCAAGAGTCACGCAGTAAGTACAAGCAAAGCTAGGGCTCCCGGGGCCAAGATGAAGCCCCTTTGACTTCCACTTTTACAAATGCCAGCTCTTGCAATGGAGCAGGAGAGATTGGGTGAAGGAAAGGTTAGTGGAGGTGTGTTCAGTGAGGGAAGGGCCCTGGGAGGTGAAATCCTTTTGGGCACAACAGGGGACCTGCTGGAGAAGCCAGTCCAGGCCTAGCCAGAATAAAGAAAGCAGAGGAAGGGGGCCAGGGCAGGAGGATGGAGGCTACATCATCAGTCTGAGGGCTTCAGCGGCACCAGAAAGAGCCCCTTAGTTCTTGAATCTAGTTCCGATCATATTTCCCCTGGCTAGGGACTACCCTATGATGCCCCATCATCTCCCAAAGAACTACAGACAGCAACTCACAGGGCACGGGAACTTGAGAAGGGGGCCTCCTGCAGGAACATAGCACTGGCTACCGGGCACGTTGTAACTGCCATATACATATTACCTAATTCAATCCTCACAGCAACCCTATGAGGTAAGTGGTGTTAACATCCCCCATTTTACAGATGAGGAAACTGAGGCACAGAGAAGTCAAGGGATTTGTCTGAGATGAAAAAGCCAAGACGAGCTCAGGTACTCCAGAATCTATGCCTGTAATATTACACTGCGTAAGCATGCATCTGGTGTGAGGACGGAAGGGACATATCATATCTAGGTAAGCCCCATAGTCCCCCAGGCCAATAGAGGGAACCCAGAGGGCCTTTCTGCAGCACCCCACAACTGCCAGGCCAGAGTGTTGTTCTGCAGCACATGCCCAGTGCTGTGGAACCAGCAACATGAAAGGGATGCAGACTCTCCACTGAAAGTGTAGACAACCTGGAACAGAACAGGGCACAGTGACTGTCCCCTGCAACCACCAATTCTCTCTGACAGGTTCTTGTTTCCCCATTTGGTTTGCAGTGTGGGCTTCTTAAGGGAGGCAGTTAAGGAAGGTAGTTTTGGGTGATGAGCTAGAAGTGGCAGGGCCTTCCGGGAAAACAGCTTGAGGTCACACCATTCATGCCCGCTCTGCAGGAGAAGCATTCGGGAGGCTGGTCTGAAATAGGATGGGCCAGGGCGGCCGAGCCATGCCACAGGACTGGGGGGTTGTGACCGAGCTTCCACGTGTCTTCCTCCCTGGGCAAGACACCAGGGCTGCCCCAGGAGAGAAAGTGAACAAAGGCACAAACACTGAGGATGGAGCCTGTTCCAACATGAGGCTGCTGCTGCGTCAGAAGCAACCAGAGGGCCTGGGGAGTTCTGAGTGTGAGGCAGGCAGGGAAGAGGTATCAGTCTGCAGTGTGAGAGTGAAAGCAGAAGTCTCCACTGTGTCCTCTGAGCAGCCCAGCCTCCTTTCCTGCTAGGCTGGCAGGAGCACTAAAGATGCCTCGAGCCTAAGAAGAGAAGAGGGAGCACTGGAAGGGGTAGGGACCCCAAGACTCATCTGGAGACTTCGAGGAGCCTGGGCTACTAGTGTGAAGGCAACATATCTGGGCACAGAGCAAAGTCTCTCTGGGCTATGGGGACCAGGTCTGGGCCAACTGGGAACCACAAACCAGACTGGAGGGTCTGACAGATGAGAATATTTCTGAGTCTCCCTAAATTCTAAGGGACTCTAGTTGAGGGCTGGAGGGCTTTGTTCTCCTCTTTCCCATCTATTATGTCCATAAATGGTTTAGATGGGTGGGTGGTGGTCACTAAAGCCTCCAACCCCAAAGGTACTAGAAAAAGAGGGAAGTACAGGTAAGCCGTGATTGGTGGGTGTGAGAGGAGCAGGCTTTGTAGAGCTGGAAGATGATCTGGAGAGACGGGAGGGTAAGGCCCCCAAGAGTGAGTAAGTGAGTCCCCCGCCTAAAGCACAAAGGTACCAGGTCCATGTTACCAGCACCCCCCCCCAGCTCCTCCCTCCGCCCCCAGCTCCTCCCTCCCCAAAGCCTGCCAGACCTGCAGTCGGGAGCCCAAACTCCCCTCCCTCCAGGAGGGACCGCGAAAGGGCAAGGAGCTGGCCCAGATTCTGCTCACAGATCAGAGGAAACAAAGCTCGCTGGACAAAGGATGGAGCCAGCTGAGACCTGTCCCTGTCCCGCCAGAAGGGTCCGCAGTTCGGGGGATCGGGCTGCTCCTCCCACCCAGGGCATCGCTGACTACGATTTCTGCGCTCGGCAGTTAAGGCTGCACCGCCCGACCTCGGCTAACCTTGCACACCTCCTCGCCCCACAACCTTACCCCCCACCCTGCCACGCCCGCGCGGCCCCGACGCGATCCAGGCACGCCCAGGCTTTGGGGAGCTTCTGCAGCCCGCCCGGACGGGGCGGGGAGAACTTGGTGGTTCTGGGATGCTGCTTCCTTCCCTCCTCGACCCCTCCGCGTAAGCCGGACAGGGGAACCCAGCCTTTCACCGCCCGGAAAAGTGGGAGTCCCCAAGGCGGAGGTTAGTCTTTACACGCACACCGCCCGCCCTCGCCCCAGGCCAGATCTGGGGACAAGCCTGGCAACGCCCAGGGTCATGCCCTGCAGTCCCACTCGGGGAGCCGCGGGCTGAGATTTCCCTACTTGGCAGAGAGGCCGCGAGGCTGGCCCAGGGCTGCGTGGAGGTGGCCGAAGGAGCTGCGGGCCCCCTGCCGAGGGTCCGGAACTGCTTTCCTGGCGGCTGCCCCTGCAGGGTCTCCCCGCTCGCGCCGGCAGGACACTCACCGTGCAGGGTCAGGAAGTCCCGGCCCGAGTCCATGCCCGACGGGCGGGGCACCGCGGCCCACACGTGAGCGGCGACAGCGCCGGCTGCCTCGGGTCCGAGCGCGGTGCGGTGGAGGGACCCGAATGGACTGCGGTGGGAGGAGGCCGGGGGTGGGCCTGGGACACCGCCCCGCCCCGCTGGGCCCGCGCCCCCGCCCCCTGGGCCCGCCAACCCGCGCCTCTCCCCGCCCCCTCCTGGGGACTGAGGAGGGAGGGCAGAGCTGGGGGCCAGAAAGACCAGCCAACCCTGGCCTGGTCTAGTGGGTGCGCCCAGGCCAAAAATAGCCGGATCCCTCCAGCTTCCTCCACCGCTGCCACCCACGGGCCCCGGGCCCTGTCATTACCGCGGGCGGCCGGGCCCTACGCCCTGCTTGTGGGCGCCTAGACCGGGTCGGGGGAATGCTGGAAAGAATCCAGCGTCATTCTGGAGAAGGGATCGTGTAGGGTCAGACACCCAGCCAGGTTGCTGCCTTAGGGCGACGCGGCGTCCAAGTGTCCAGCCGCATCTCCCGGGTCCCGGGTGTCTGCTTTCCCTTCTGTGAAATGGGTGCATGGGCACGGATTAAGAAGTCTCGAGAGAGCAATATCCAGACTTTATCCGGAGGAGGGTCCTCTCCCCTCCCCCTGGGAGGTTTCTAACCCTAGGAGTGCCTTTGGTGGGAGGTTAGGACCCAAGCAGCAGGCAGGTGCAGGGAGCTCACCTTTGAGCCCCTCACACTTCAAACCCAGGAGGACCTGGGCAGCCGAGGAGGAAGACCCCCAGGGTTCCTTCTTCAGGTGACCTCCCAAGGTCCTGTCTAAGCAAGGGGACCCTATGTGGACCCCTCAACTCTTGGGACCCAGAAACCCTCTTTATAGGGTGCCCAGAAGACTCCCCACTCCCTACTGCACCAGGGAAGGTCTGCAGATCCTGCTGCCTGGCACTGGTTGGGAGAACCGGGTTCTGGGCGTGGGGGAGCCCCCTGAGGACCTCTCAGGATGGGGGGGTGCTAGGCCCCCAGTAAAGCCCCCCCAGGCCTCCTGGGCTGAGAAAGCCAATGGGAGAGTCTGGCAGAAGATAGTTGGACCCCTCATGGAGGAGGAAACCTGGCTCGTCCCAACCCCTCCTCTCCTGGGCCCCACCAGGCCTAGGAGGCCTTGAGTGAACGGTGTGAAACAGGGGGAGAGCAGTCTTTATGTTCTAAGGGTGGGTCAGGACTTTGGGGCTTTGGAGATCGCCGTTCTGCATGCCCCCTGCTACACAGAGAGGCCTTGCCCTTTACCTGGCACTCAGCTCCAGTCCTGTCCTCAGGCCTGGAGACCAGGCAGGCCTGTCAGAGCCCTCCTTGGTTTCCCTTCCACTCAGGGTCACACTCTGTGTTTGTTGAGGAATGGGCAAGTCCACACTGGCAGGCCTGACTTTGGACCCCCAGCCTGGGGGTGGGGAGGATGAGGGGTTCCCTTCTCTGCCCCCTGAGGGGCCTCCTCAGGCCTTGCAGCCTACCACCTGTGCCTCTGACACCCCTGGGACCTGCAAGCCCCTCTTCTTGGCAAGCCAGACCTCCTCAAGCCCGGCCCCTCTTCCTGGGCAGAGCCACAATGAAATTCTGGCACCAGTAGTTGAAATAGCTTCATCTCAATCATCACCTCTATTTATTCACGTCATCTCCCAGCTCTGAGCCCCAAGCCCCAAACCAGGGCATTATCTGGGCTCTTGGCCTCTCCCTCTGCCCCAGGTGTCATGATAGGGGCCCCGCCAGGCTCTTCCTTTGCACAGCCCAAACCCACCTCACACAAGCCCTCCTCTGGCCTCTGCCGCAGACACAGGAGCTGCAGCCTCCCTCCCTGGCCCGACATTCTTGAGCAGGATGGACACAGCTGACTCAGAGCTGGCACATACCGCTGAGTTCTGCCAGAAACAAGGGCTGGGCCCAGCCCTGCTCAGAGAAACCTGGCGGCTGCTCTGACCTGTGGGTCAGCCCTCACTCCAGTCCTCTCCTCTCCTCCCCGGCTGCCTGCCCCTCCTCTCTCGCACAAGCTGGGAGGTACTCTGCTTGTTTCTGCTGGGCGCATGCCTGCGCGGAAGGACTGCGCATCTGTATATGGAGGGGCCAGGGGAGGCACAGCAAGAGGCTTCGTACTCAACCACAAAGTTGCTGGATCCTGCCCGCCTGCCCTCAATTCCAGGGCCCTCTGTGGGCCCAGCCCTGGCCAGGTGCCTAAATCACCCTCCTCACAGACCAGTTCTCAGATGCCTCTGCAAGATGCCCTGAGATCCTGTGACTCACAGGGCTCCGCGTCGGGCTTAGTTTGGGTGTGCAAAGGGCCCACACATGCCCAAAGACTAGTTCTGCAACAGTGGAGTGTCAGGCGTCTCACCAACCCTACACAGCCATCCCTAGTCTCCAGTGGTGCTTCTGGGATGCCTGGAGACAGGGGAGAGAGGCATAGTGTTACTGCCACACCTGCCTCAAGTCACTATCCATGGCCCCTCCACCACCACCCTCTCTGGACGCCTGTGGAGGGGGGATTATCAACTCAAGAATGCCAACTTTCAGGATGCTCAGGCTCCAGGTGTGCCTCAGGGCTGGGCCTGCCTAACCCCTCCCCCATGAAACTCAAACCTACACAAGCCCGGGTAGGTGAGGTGGGTCGGGTTTCTTCTGCCCCCTCCCTGTCTTTAGCGCCCCTGTCCCCAGCAAGACACCGGGATGAAGGGGCTGCTTAAATCTTGACTCTGCACTTTCCTGTGAGACTTTGAACAAGTCACTTCGCCTCTCTGGAGCCCTGTAATCGGGAGCTATAATCATCCTTGGAATTGGCTGAAATAATGGATGTCAAGTACAGGGAACAAATAAGTACCCTCTAGAAGAACACGAGCTGGAATCCCATCTTCCCACAGCCATGCCCTGTCTGGGCTCCTCGACAGATCCTGGTGGCCACAGAGCCCAGCAAGAAGCTCTTGGTCTAAGGCCACGCCCCTGCTGCCTTCAAGGGCTGGAAAACGCCATCTGGGTTTCCTCCAAAGGGTCCTGTTCCCAAGTCCAGACGCGTCAGGAGGAAAGGTGAAGGGTGTCCAATCAAGGGAGCAGCTATGGCGAAGCGGGGGTCCCCCGGTCACCCAGGGTCAGGTCCTCAGGCCCTGACCGTGCAGGGATCCAGAATGCCATGATGGACCACAAGGTTGCAGTGCCTGTCAGTAGTCCCAGGACAGTATAGGATTATTTGGGGCTACTTTTCCCATACTTATCTTTGTGGGATTTCAGTGTATATTCATTTGTGAATGTAACTTGTTTGTTTCCCTGCAGGCTAATCCCTATGCTCACCTCCACCCCATAGGCAGAGTGTAGTGCTTGGTGCGGGGGGAACAGTCAGGAGAATTGTCCTCAGACCCTTAGCTGAGGGAGGAGGTGCAGGCAGACCCACCCGAGGGAGGAGGCATGCTTAAGGAGTGTGTGAACTGAAGAAGACACTGAAACCTCCATTCGAAAACCGTTCTGCTATTTCACTTATACACCACAAGTATTTATTGAGCAGCTACTGTGTACCGGGCACTGTTCTAGAGCCTTGGGAATCATCAGTGAACAAAACACACCAAAAATCCTACCCTCCTGGAGCTTAAATAGTAAGAGAAAGAAAAGACAACTATCATGAACATAAGAAGTGAATTGTGTAGTATATTAGAAGGTGATAAGGAAATGGAAAAAAGTAGGATAAGAGAGTTCAGGAATGGGACAGAGTTAAACTTTAAAAGTAGGGTAATCAAACTGGATTTTATGGGGAAGGTGACATGTGAACAAAGACTGGGGAGTGACCCATTTAGAGATTTCTAGGGCAAAGGATTCCAGGCACAGGGAGCAGGCAGTTCCAAGACCCTGAGGCAGGAGCGGGTCCACTAAGCCAGAGGAAGAGCAAGGAGGCCAGGGTGGCTGGGCCTTAGAGAGCGAGGGGGAGTGGTAATGGGAGAAGACTGGGAGGTAACAGGGACCAGATTCCTGTGGGGCCTTACAGGGGCTTCCACTTTCACTCTGGGAGAAATGGGGAGCGTTTGGAAAGCTTCAGGCTGAGGAGGGAGATGATCCGACTCATGATTTAGCAAAACCCTCTGGCCAGTGGAAGAAGTTGCCATGGAGGGACAGGGCCGAAGCAGGGAGCCCAGGGAGGAGACTCTTGAGATAAATAATTGAGGCAGGAGTGGATGGTGGCTCAGACCTCAGTGCTAAGATTGGAGGTCGGGAAGAGTGGGAGGACTCCACATCCTTTCTGAAGGTAGAGCCCACAGGACTTACTGGCAGGGGCTGCGAGAAGAGAGGAGTCAAGGAGGGCTCCAAATCTGAGGCCTACACACCTGGAAGGACAAAGCACCCATGAACTGAAACGGGGAAGGTGAGGAGGTGCCAGCTCTCTGTTTTGGACACATTAAGTTTGAGGTCCCTCCAGACATCCAAGGTAAGATGTCAAGCACACGATGGCTGTACAGGTCTGGAGTTTAGGAGGGAGATGTGAACAGGCTGCTCATAATGGCACTATTTATAGTAGAAAAAAAGAAAAAAGTAGTCCTCCATGAGTTGCTATAGAATGTAATAAGTGAAAAAAGCAAACAGCAGGACAGTGTCAATGTATAACATGATTTCATTTGTGTTTTTTAAAAATTAAAACAATGGTGTTATAGATATTGGTGTTTGTGCAGACATGAAAAGTAGCTGGTTTATTGAAAAAAAAAAAAGAAAAGTAGCTGGAAGTATACAGAAATAATCTGATAATCTGGGGGGAAGGATTGAAAGGAGAACACTTTTTATTCTTTATGTACTTTATTCTTTATGTACTTTATCATTATGTTTTACCATAATGATATAGAATTTTTGAAATTTAAAAGTAAAATTTTTTTGTTATTGTTTTTTATTTTTTATTTCAGCATATTACAGGGGTACAAATGTTTAGGTTACATATATTGCCCTGGCCCCACTCGAGTCAGAGCTTCAAGTGTGTCCATCCCCCAGACAGTGCACACTGCCCCCATTAGGTGTGAATATACCCATCCCCTCTCTCCGTCCAACCTGCCCAACACCCAATGAATGTTATTCTTATTATGTGCACCTAAGTGTTGATCAGTTAATACCAATTTGATGGTGAGTACATGTGGTGCTTGTTTTTCCATTCTTGGGATACTTCACTTAGTAGAATGGGTTCCAGCTCTATCCAGGATAATACAAAAGGTGCTAGATCACCATTGTTTTTTGTGGCTGAGTAGAACTCCATGGTATACATATACCACATTATATTAATCCACTCATATATTGATGGCACTTGGGTGTTTTCACATCTTTGCAATTGTGAATTGTGTTGCTATAAACATTCTAGTGCAGATGTCTTTTTTATAGACTGCCTTTTAAAGTAAATTTTAAAGGCCAAAAATGTATGTGGGAACCCAGAGATTAAAAAAACAAACAAAAATTGTGGTCAGTAGAACCGGTTATAAAATGAAGAAGGCAGCTCACAAGGAATTCCATTTGTGCTGATGAAGTCCCCATGGGAAGGGACCTGCAGTGTGGGTCCAAAGGTGACCTGAGCCCTTTGTTACTGGTGCAGGGTCGGAGACATTCATTTATTCAGCTAGCCAGAGAGCAAACAGAAATTGAATGCCGGGCTCGGTGGAACCAGGGATGAATCCAGTTTATCAGGCAGAGAGATAGTGACAGAGGAAGGACATGAGGGTGGAGATAGGGGTGCACAGAAGAAGGGGGAGAGCAAGGAAGAGAGTGTGCATCAGATGGGAATGGGCTGCAGCAGCAGATGCTGCTGAGAGCTCGAAGAAGAGGAGGACTGATAGGTGGCCATTGCCTCTGGAGGGACTGGAAGGTTGCTGGTAACCTTGGCCTGGACAAGTGCCAGCTGAGTGGAAGGGGCACTCAAAGGCAGGAGGGGCCTCTCCCCAGCTGCTCAGACTCCCTGTGACTGTCTCTGAGGCTGTCTGGAGGCAGGATAGAGGAACCAAAAGTAATGGCAAGAATCCATTGTCTTGTCCTTCCCTAGGACAGGGACGGTAGCCAGGGAGCCTCCATGAGTGGGACTGCTCCTAACCGACAAGACCACCTAACGTGAGAGCAGTGGAGTCCCCCCAGACAGTTCCACTTCTCTTCCTACCCACAGCTCCTTCCTGTACCATCGGGGGCCTCACATACATGTGAAAAATTGGACAAATGACCCCTTTGCCCAAGCTCCCTCCAATCCTGTCCCCTTCCCCCACCAAAGCTATCCCTTCCTGCCCACACCAATCACCGTGGGGGAGGGGGGAAGTTAAAGAAGAGCCTGCACAGGCCCTGGAAATGGACTCAGGATATTTGGGCAAATACTTTTGGAGTCCCAGGTACCTCGAGGGAAAGCACAGAGCACATCACCTTGGCCCTGTGGCCTCCTTACTCTGTGGGGAAGGGCACAGCTGGAGGAGAGCCAGGGCAGGGTCCCCTCAAACACACAGTCCAGGGCAGGGTCCCTGGCTTCCCAGTTCTCAGGACAGAAAAGGTACTGGAAAGGACAGATGAGGGAGCCAGGCCCAACCAAGAGAAGTGGAAGTGGCCCAGGTCTGTGGGCAAGCATCCTGGGACTCATCTCAGGAATGGTCTTCAGGCTGTAAGGCAAACAAACTCCCCCCAGAGTAGAGAGTGGCTAGCTGTGTCTTGAAGCCATGGTGTGCCGATGGTGATGTCAAGCTGCCACCCCAGACAACTGCAGTCCTCTTCCCGTCTCAGTGGATGGTATGATCACCCATGTGCCTGCACACACAGGATACTTGGAAGTCATTCTTGGCCCCTTTTTTACCTCCCATTATCCACCAGCACGTCTTGTCAATTCTACCTTTTAGATGTACCTCCAACCTATTTCCCTCTCACCCAAGCTCCCTTCCCTCTTTCCTAACCTCTGCACTCATTTCCTAATTGACCTGGTGCCTCCTGACTCTCATCCATTCTCACAGCAACAGTAGCAATGTCAGTAAAACAAAGCTAACTATGGCATGCCCCAGCTTAAGACCCTCGATGGCCCTCCTACTGTCCTCAGAATAAAGACAAAATTCCTTAATGTGACCTACAAACCCGTTTATGCCCTGGCTTTTACCTATCAGTTTCAAAATTCTGTCCTCACACTCTTTAAGTTCCATTCCTTTCATTAAAAAAAATAATTTAAAGAGGTTTCTTCTAAGCCAAATGTGTGTGACCAGCCTGGAGCACATGGCCTCAAGAGGTCCTGAGAAAATGTCACAGCCATTCCTGAATTTCTTTCAGTCCCTCTTGCATGTGGTATTCTCTCCCAGCTTTTGCACACCTGGGTCCCTTGCAGGGTGTGCCCTTTTTCCTTCTTCCCTGGCTTACTCCTACTCATTCTTTTTTCGTAACTTAAAAAAACAAATACTGAGGTATAATTTACATAGAGTAAAATTCATCCATTACCATGTTCAGTCCTGTGAGGTTTGACAAATCCATATAGTTGTGTGACCATCATCACAATCAAGATATAGAATAATTCCATCATCCCCCTAATCTCTCATGCCCCTTTGTATCCTACCCTAGCTCCCACCCCCAGCTTCTGGCAACCACTTAGCTGTTTTCTGTTTTGCATTTTCTCCAATGTCCTATAAACAGAATCATTCAGCATGCATGTGGATTTTGGGGACTGGTTTCTTTTACCGAGCATAATGCATCTGAGATTCATTCATCTATGCTGTTGTGTGTATCAGCAGTCTATTTCCTTTTTAATGCTGAGTAGTATCCTATTGTATAGATGTACTACAATTTATCCATTCACCAGTGGATAAGACATTGGAGTTTTCCCCAGCTTTTGGCAATTAGGAATAAAGCTACCATAAACATCTGTGTACAAGGTTTTGTGTGCACACAAAAAGTTTTCATTTCCTTTTGGGAAATACCTAGGAGTGGCACTGCTGTTATGTGTCACTTTATAAGAAACTGCCAAACTGTTTTCCAGAGTTGCTGTACTAGTTTGTATTTCCATTCACAATACATGAGAATTCCAGTTGCTCCACATTCTCATCCGCAGTTGCTCGGTGCCTTTATTTATTCAAGTAAGTTATTTTATTTTTTTTGCCATTCTATTAAGTGCATAATGGTGTAGCATTGTGGTTTGAATTTCCACTTCCCCAGTGACTAATGATATTGAGTCTACTCATTCTTTTTAATCTCTGCTTGGTCTTCACTTGTTCCAAGAAGTCTCGGCTCGCCCTGCAGACTAAGTTCTGTGGTTTCATGACAACCAACATTTATCTCTACCTTGGCCTTAACCCGCTAAACTGCAGTTGTTTTACTGTTCTCCCCACCCACCATACTTTCTCTCTCTCTCTCTCTCTCACACACACACACACTACTGTGTGCTCCCAGAGGGCAGAAGCCGCATCTTACTTCCTTTGGTATCTTCAGCTCCCAGCACCACACACGTGAGACACAATCTCTATACAATAAATACTAAATGAGTGAACAATTGCTGAACCAATCAAAGAATGGATGGATGAAAGCAGGTACCCAGGCAGAAGGATCTGTAATCAGACTGGCCTGGCTGTGTCAATTAACCTCCTCCATCGGCGCCCCGCACTTCAGTAAGCTCAACTCGAGAACTGCGACGCCGACGATGCGAATGTGTGCGACGACACCGATGACGCGACCAAGAGGAGGGCCTGCCGGAAGGGGCGGGGCTCGACCGGAAGCAGAACTGCGCCAGGGAGCGAGAGGCGTCTCAGTTGCCATGGAGACCAGGAGCGCTAAAGAGCTGGGGTCCACCGAGTACTGGGTCTACGACTACCCGGAGATATCGTGGGCGCCGACCTCGAGTCTAGCGTGGTCCATCAGCTCCAGCAGGCCCAGCCGGAAGTCCACCCGGCTGTCCTCCCGCGCCTACTCCGATGGCTTCCACTATAGCTTCGCGCCCAGGCGCCGCCGCCGCCGCTCGGAGCTCGCGCTCGCGCCGCTCCCCGAGCCGCAGCTGCTCCGCCTGCGCCCCTCTTCGCTGCGGACCCAAGAAATTTCGCACTTGCTCACCGCCGTCTTCCGCAACTTGTACTCGGTCGAGGTGATCGGCGAGGACGTGAGCACAAGCCTGATCAAGGCCCGCGGCAGCGAGAATGCTCGCCACGAGGAGTTCGTGGAGGAACTGCGGCAGGTAACGCGGCCCCGGCGGCGCCCCGCGCTGCGGACGTTGCAGGGGACCCGAGGAGGCGCCTGCAGGACCCCGCACGTGCCAGCATCTGCCGAGGGCCGGGCGCTGTCCCAGGCTCTGGGGATGCAGCTGGGAAAGAGCAGATCAAGTTCATGCTCCAGCGGATCCACGTTCTAGCAGAAGGACACTATATACACACACATATCTGTAGCACCTGTCTATATATATAGTTCTCTGCACACATACGTGCATTATAGATTGCATATATGAATGAAACAGCTGGGGCAGACAGCTGAATCGTTGTTCTCTGGAGGGGATAAAGCGAAAAGGCATCCCTTTTTGGGGTGCCTTTGTATCACAAACCCACAAACCACAATCTCGACTGAGACATTCGTGCCCAGATTTTAGGAAGCATGAGCAATCTCTGAACAGCAGCTCTGCTTCCTCCTCTGTACATGGAGGAAACCAGATGACTTGGGTCCTCTGTGCTGAGTCTGCCTCTGCTGGCCAG